TAAGGTGCCGTGGAGGTGTCTTGTTTTGTTGGCAAGTGGTGCAAGACTGAACGTATTTCTGCACAAAGCGATACATTCCTCGCCAGTAATATCGTTGGCGCAGCCTTTCGTAGGTTTTCAGGACACCTGCGTGAGCACTTTGGGGATCTGCATGGAAATTCATGCAGATGTCAGAGCGCATATGAGTTGGGACAGCAAGGAGCCACTTCCGACCACCATCACATTTGGTGGAGGCTGCTGAGATCCCCAAGCAGAGCTGGAGCTCCGCTCTCGCAAGTTGGCCGAGAGACCACCACGAAACATGACTGACGCAGTCACCATCCAGCCCATCCCAGTCTACCCAGCACCTCCACCAAATGTGATGATGTTTATTCGAGCAAAGAAGTCGCAACGAGGTTGCAACAAAAAATGGCCGTACGACAAGTCTGGCAAAGGCGGCACAGGCTCTCGCACAATCAGAGCACGGGGCTTTTTTCGTTATCTTCCGAAGGCGCATACGTGTTGGTGCGTATGCTCCACTACACCGTCATTGCTTCATGACATCCTCTTTGCGATTCCTCGCTAAAGAAGAAAATATGCTTACATTGAAGGCAGTAGTGCATATGACATGAGCACAACCAAGTGCTTTGCCTTCCAGCATCTGTACCTGTGCACCAATATTACAGAACACTAATTGGATTGGAACATTTGACAGCGGATGTCACTTCCTGCGATACTCAATATTTTCATTCCAGCAGACATTTCGCCTAGAGTATACCGTAATTACTCGAATCTAACGCGCACCTTTTTTCCGGTTAAGCGAGTTCATAAATCGCATGCGCGTTAGAATCGAGTACGAACAAAAAAATTACGGTCAATCTATTGCCATCGGCAAATCCAAAATGGCCGCCCCCTACGTGCATCGGCATGGCGCGTCCGCCGTTTCTGACTATGTTTCCCATGTGCGGCACTTCGTACGTGTGCTGAGGAGTTCGTCATCTAGTAGTGCATTAGCATCGACGGCGTGGAAGGGCCGACTCCAAAAACTCGAGTGCACCACGATGCCGCTTTTAAAAGAAAAGTCATCGCGTGTGCAGAAACGGACGGAAATCGGGCCGCATCGCGGTCGTTCGGAGTTCCCAAAACGTGCGTGCGGGACCGGCGGAAACGAAAGCAGAAGATTGTCGACAGCAAAGCTTCGCGCAAATGCTTCAGTGGACCACAGCAGGGTCGGTTTCCGCAAATTAAAGAGCTGCTCGGCGAGTATGTATGTGCTTGAGCAGCGAGCGGCACAGCGGCCCGTGACGACAGAACTGCTCCAAATGCGAGCTATGCAATTAGTCTTAGAAAAAGGTCTAATGCGGAGCCAGTTTAAAGCGAGCAGGTGCTGGCTAACTAACTTTATAAAGAGGAAAGGCTTTTCCCTCCGAAGAGGAACGGCTTTGCCCTCCGAAGAGGAACACGCATATGTGAAACGTTTTGCGGAGGAGTACGATGAAAAGCTTCAGTTTTCAGAGGTTCGTCCTAAACTTGCGGTGCAACAACGGCTACCTGCTTGGGCAAATCGGGAATGCCGATCAGACGCCTCTTTACTTCGACATGCCTGGCACCACAACCGTCGAGAAGAAGGGGGCGAAGCAAGTTTGCGTGCTGACATCGGTCCACGGTAAAACTACAGTGACGGCAATGCTCTGTTACACGTCAGATGGGCACAAGCTTCGCCCGTACCTTCTATTTAAATGGAAGACGCTCCCGAAAGGAGTCGTTTTTTCGAGTGATGTGATCGTGCGGGCCAGCGAGAAAAATGGGTGCGCGTTGCAATCAATTTCTTACGTTTTTTTTTTCTTTTTTCGCGGTAGAAATCAGGTGCGCGTTACAATAGAGGGCGCGGTAGAATCGAGTAAATACGGTAGTCGATACTTAAGATGGGAAATGCGAGAAAGGTGATGGCACACATATTTTCAGTCACTGACTGGCCCTTTGGCGGTACACTGGACCGAATGCTGTCCACTCTAGACACCTGGCTGGTGGGGCATTTTCTGCAGTGCTGAAATTCGGTCCATGTTTTGCCTTTAGCATAGTTGTGGCATCATTGTGCAACTAAGTGAGTTTTGTTTAAAAGCAACCATCACCATCCAGCAATCACCTGGTGCAATAAAATTTCAGTGGTATGAATTTTACAGGGTTGCACGAAATATTTGTATCAATCCAACATATCCCCCCCCCCCAAAAAATTTGACAGAAAAATTCCTATTACCTATTCACACTTTCTTGTTCAAATCGTCTGTGACTGCTATCTGTGTTGTATAAGTGCATGTACACGGCCTCACTAATGTTTTCGCATGCCACAGCACTCCAGGCACGTCACGTATCGGCCGTCATTGATGCAGCACACATTATCTCCTTCCTCGTGGGCCAAAGCACAGAGCTGTGATGTGAAAAGCTCTTTTTCAATGCCCTACTCGGTAAGCAAACCTGAGGTTCAAAGTGGCTTTGAACAGATGGCACTTACAGTCTACCATATTTATTCGAATATAGGTCGACCTTTTTTTTTTCTACAAATGTTGTTCATAACCAGCTATTGACCTATATTCGTGACCAAAGAATCTCGACCTATATTCATGATCAAACCACCCAAAAGCGCCGAGCGTATGTTCAACTGAGACGCCTGCTGTTCAAGCGGTTCTTGCTGCATATGCACGTTATACACCATAAAATCTGGAATAAAAGCACCCCCCTCCCCCCCTTCTTTTGTGACTACTCAAGTAATAGAGAAAAATGTTATTTATGCAATAGCTGTTTACCACCTTTTCAAAGTTGCGGCGAAATCCATCCGCTCCGCCATGTTTGTGATGAAACCCACAATTTACCTAGGTATAGGCTGTGAAGTCCCTAGCCCACTAGCCATGCTTTCGGAACTGCTTTCCGGCCCGCGACCGCTCTGGCACTAGCCTGAGGCCTTGCCATTTTTTGTTGATTGTACAATCGGCGTGACTGGGTGATTGTTGGCATTTGCTTTAGGTGCTGCACCGTGCTCGCTACAAGGCTGGAGAAATTAGGTGCCTTCTGACCACCACTACCATTTTCTTGTGCGTGGTTGCGAGGATGTCTCGTCTGCAGAGCTACACAGGTGACTTCAAGAGCCAAGCGATACTTTTTTCCAAGGGCTCGAGCAATTGTGCTGAGCAGCCGAGTTCTGTGTAAATGAGAAGTTGATTAGGGGTAGGTGAAAGCGGCGGGACCATCTATTTGCGTGCAACGGACAGCGTCATGCATTTCGTGAACCAGCAATCCACAGCAATACCAACGAGGACGACGGCATTTGGGAAGCCGCCAATGCTTGCGAAGAATAGGATGACCAGAACATTTTGCACATCAGACAAGATGACAACCCTGATGGCGATTAGTGCGCTAAGTTATGCGAGTAAAGGTGTGCTATGATTCAATTTTTCTCTTTCTCAATTAAAGAAAAAGATGTGGGCCGACCTATATTCGATCATTTTTTTTTGCTTGTATAACACATAAGTAGGGGTCGACTTACATTCGTGCCCAACCTATTTTCGAGTAAATATGGTAGTTAGCAGCAATAACTGTTTGTGCCACAACTAACAGCTGCCACACCAGATGGAAGCAGATCAGACACAAAAGACAACATTATCATTGTAGTTTGACAGCGTAATGACATAATGCACCATAAGAACATAAAAAATGTTGCATCCAGTGTGAATGTCTGCACTTTTAATAATATAAAAAAGCCTGGTATGTGAGAATTCTCGTGATAAGCAATGACGCTTTGTCGAGATGCCATAGGATCCAAACACGTGCAAATTGTGGGGTTTTTTTTTTTTTTTTGTCTAGGGGGACATTGACTTCGAAGATACACGATGATTGCACAGATGTTTGTGATCAATGAATCTCTTCGACAATTGCTACACCTCTGGCTTCTCTCCAGAGCAACTAAATGCGTGGGGGTGAAATTCTCAATGAAAACACCAACTAGATAGGAACAAAACACGACGAAGAAAACTGGAGAATGCTGCCATCCTTCATATTCATGCTTGTCACACTGTCACAAAGTTCTAACTGCACCAACTTGCTCATAGAATTGCTTCGCTGGTTCTCAGAAGTTCATCTTATGCAATGTGCTGACAGTATACGCACGAATTTCGAGGCATCTCCCTCCCCTCCTGATCCACGCATGAGAGCAGCACAATTTGTCACATGTGGGCTGTCTACTCATACATCCACATGTGCAAGTTCTTTGAAGTTCTTTCTCGACAACGCTTTCAAACAAATACAGGCAACCACACACGATTTACTCACAAGGTCAACTGCAGCCCCACTTCTTAAACTGAGGCTAGGCTGGTTCGCTCAGGGAGAAATTGTTCGCTCGTCCAGCGAGGACAACAATTTCTCCTTGTTTGCAGCTTTGAAGTTCAATGAAATCTAACATTTCATGGCGTAAATTTGCAAGGTTCAATGTGGCTTTGAGCTACCTTTTCAAATTGGACATCTTTGTGCAAGCACAAAAAGCATTCCACAAAGAGACTCAAGCTTTGAAATCGTAAAACAGGGTTGAGGTGAGGTCTGATCGTCAACCCTATTTCATGATTGGACTGCCAATATTTTTCAGAGATTGTCGAAGAAAACTGCAGCTATCCTGGAGTCAACACAACTGTGCTGTCTTTGGTGCAAAGCAAAACATAAAATCGGATAAATAACAGTGCTGCTGCTTGCCAGTGTTCAATGATACACATTTCTTGATACAGCACAGGGTTACATAAGCATATATGAAGTCATAATTCTGTCAAGTGCCCTGTTCGTTAAAGCAACAAGATATTTGCGAAGGCACGTGAATAGTCTAGCTGTGTGGCATTGCATACAAGAATACAGTAGGAGTTTTTAAATCGGGGCAGTTTTAAAACAATCCTTTCCTAGCGAGCCCTACTTGGCACCAAGATACCAAAGAAACTAAGAATCACTACCGAGTGGATGCAAGAGAGAAGCAAGCAAGCACTGACCATACTTGGCAGGAATGGAGAGGTTCATCAACCCAACTTCAAAGGCCTTCTTGACAATGTCCCACGGAAACTGCACACCAGAGAATATAAAATGTCCTTTTAAAGCAGCACAAGCATTACAGGAACGTATAAATCATTAAAAATTACCCCAGCTCTGTGAGTCTTGTACATTAATAACTAAAAAATGTAACTGCAATTAGAGTGATGGCCACCGGGAAAACATCATTTTGTCATGCATTCAAACAGCAGCAGCATTTGAAAAATGACTAAATGTCAGAAGAATGCCGATGCTGCAGGTGCAGTTAGCAATTAAGTTACAAGAACTTCGTGAGACACATTGAAGAAACCCGCAGTCGATGGAATCATGACGTATAAAAAATAGAGGAGATATTACACGATATGTCAACATGATACAGAGAATCCCAACTAATTTTGCTACGAAAAAATTTCCAGATGACGTAGAAAAATACTCGCGTACATCCTACAGCATGGACCACCAGTTGATCCCAGATATAACGAACAAGGGAGATTGCAAAGTAGTACAATATATCAATAATTTGAATGCAAAATATGCATACTGAGGCCTAAATTGAAGCATTTCAGGCCTTAGAAATCGTTACAAGGGCTAACATAATGATTTCCTCACAGTATAATGAATGACAAGGTGTGAACTGCAAGTTACCGCATGAAAACAGTCTCTATACTTGTCTTGCTTTTTGTGTGCCGTCATGTTGCAGTCATCCTCAATATCATTCAAGCTTTTCAAATAAGTGAATTCAGCTCTTTTCTACAACAGCATTGATTGACACATTGAAATAGCTTATTTTTGTTTGCACGGCACTCCACTCGCCCGCGATTATGTCTGCCTTAATTTCAGCTAACGTCATGCTGTCGTTGTGCACCGATGGTGAACCCAATCACAGTGTCAGTGCTCGTGCCAACTCCAAGCTCATTGGCTGTGTAGGCGCTGCCTCTTCTATCTTGGTGTCAGAGTCGTCGGAAGTCACTTGAATTATTTTGACATCGGTCAATTCTACCCACAGCTCGAGGTATTCGTCAGCGTTGGCAAAGCCCTCAAAGGTTATCCTGACTGTAATTGAAACACCGGCAGCGTGCAGATTGTCGAAGGGAATGTCGGCCGGTGGAAGTTCGTCGCACATACTGTCCACTCCAAGCGACACGGTCGTCTCGGCGTCCAGTAGGAAGCTCGCGTGGTGAAAACAGATTGGAAGGGCTGTTGCATAACCGCCATCCACGAGTCTGCAAGCATGCCGACGGCAGACCATAGATCAACAGCGTAGCTTTTCCCGCTGCACAGGCAGCACAGCACCATGCGGCTGTGGCATGGCTGTGGCCACAGGTTTGACTAAGCTTAGGCTAGCAACGAATTGATGTGCGCTGGATTGCGGCATTTGCGGTTCAGAGCGTATGACAACCGTGGGGTGGTGCGTTCGAGGGTACAAAAACAATCAAAATGACGGCATTGATAGTGATTTCGAGCATGCGGTTAGCGGTAAATAGTCCGGAAAATCCGACGGCAAAAGCTATAAACGTCTGGAACATTGGAGTTTTTAATACATTGACTCTATGGGAAACTTGACAGGGCCACAGATGAGTCCGGGAAATCCGGCATGTCCGGAATTTTGCACCGACTGTATCAAAATTTGATATATCTAGGATTGACTTATGTTATAAGTCACTGGAGCCACAAATATCTTTACTATCAGCGGTAGGTCACTGTCATATCCGCTTTAAGCTGAGCAGTACGATGCGATTAAAAGACGCACGCCACTCCGATGTCACTGTCTCAAAAGAACCACGTGTTTATTCAACAGCCGCTTTTTATCACTTTACACCAGTGACGTCATAGGACAGCACACTAGTTCTTGGCCCAAACAAAGATAACAATAACACTACATCCTTCCTTTTTTTTTTTTAAAGAAGTATTGTAACACAAAGCAAACAAAGAAACAAATCAATATGAATTGCAACAGCACAGAACTGTATGCTGCAAGTTTCAAGTGTAGCCGTATCGCTGTGGTGGACTTGTTTCTTGACCATAGCGTGTCACATAACGACCAAGTCTCCCACTATCCAAGGAAGCCACCGGCATTGAAATGAGCGCAGAATGCTCTGCCGAGAACTTGTGTTCCTCAGATTGCCCTGCAGCGTTCAGATTCACAGGAAAGTGATAAGATGGGTCATGCGCGCAAGTTCCCTCGTTGTATCTAACCAATGCCCTTTCATTTCTCTCTACCTCGGTCCCGTTTTCTGTCAGCATAACCGATATGACCGTGCTTTGGGCTGGACTGAGCACCCCCGTTGTTTGAATTTCGCTGTCTTTCATCCATACTCGATTTCCAGAGACAAGTTGTGGTAACAGAGTTACAGCATGATGACGGTCGTAGTTGAGCCTTTGCTTATTTAGAAATATCTTGTCCTTGTACCGGAGGCTTCTAAGAGTGCTCGCCTTTGACGGTACAAGTTTTTTCGGATGTACGGGCAGCATAGAACGTAACTGCCTGCCCATAAGCAGCTGGGCTGGACTTGTACCCAGAGAACCAGGGGAGTGCCTGTACGCTAGGAAGGCTAGATAAGGGTCAGCAGATTTTTCCAACATCCGTTTTACTGTTTGCACTGTACGTTCGGCTTCTCCATTTGACTGCAGGTACCTGCGACTGAATGTGACGCGACGAATGCCGTAACTTGTTGCAAAGAGCGCGAATTGAGGACCGTTGTCTATTATGACCAGTTCTGGGATCCAATGCCTAGCAAATATACTCTTGATTTGAACAATAACCACCGCAGAGGTCGTGGACGATAACAGAGCGAGCTCCGGATATCTCTAAAAATAGTCTACGACCGCAAAGTACATTTTCTCATACAAATGGAACAGATCAGCTCCAACCTTCAAGCAAGGCAAGCTAGGAGACTCGGGCGGCATCATGGGCTCAACTTTTTGAACGCGCAGCCTCGCACATTCTTGACAACTGTTTATCGAAGCTTCCAGCTCGATGCTGAGACCTGGCCACCACACAGATTCTCGGGCCCTTGCACGGCATTTCACAATGCCCTGGTGACCTTCATGCAAAGAACAAAGTACTTCGCTCCTTACGTTCTGAGGCACGACTAGGCGAGACCCATGTAGGAGCACCCTGTCACATATTGTAAGGTTTGCTCTCTCTGACCCGTAAGGGCTCAGCCAACTGCTCTTTATCACGACCCGGCCAGCCCTCCCTACAGTACAACTAAAGTTGTCTGCAGGTGTCTTCTTGTGCCAACCTTATCTTCTTCCAGTGTGCCGAAAACTTCAATTCACAGATACAACCTTCTGTATGGCCTTCTGCATGGTCACTGCCTCAAAAGAACCCTGTGTTTATTAAACAGCCGCTCTTTGTCACTTTACACCAGTGACGTCATAGGGCAGCACACTAGTGCTTGGCCTGAACAAAGATAACGATAACACTACAGTCACTATAAAGAAAACATTTTTTCAAAGGCTACACATGTGCGAAACATGATGAGTCTAGGCATGTGACTGAAGTGCAAATTTGCATCCACTTCAGTTCACAAATGCCGAACAGTTAAATTTTGTGCTACCGTAACAAATGCAAGCAAAAAAAAAAAAAACATCATAGCTGAAAGTTGCCGACTAAGTCTTGGGACGTTCTTGTTTATGCAGACTTTTCCTTGTTGATGCGGTACCATACTGTGCATGACCTGTACGTAAAAAGGCAATTTCAATTCTCCGCTTTTATAATTCTACGGGTGCCTGCACAGTGTCGAAAACAGTGTCAACTATGAACCACCACCACCCAAGTGCTGTATATGCACGCCCTCATTTTTGTTGAAGATGCGAGTCCCCCCTTCCAAATGCAGCAACAGCAAAAAATGACCGAGTCGGATGAATTATTTGCAGCAATGGATGCCTAATTCGAAGATCGTGGGCTTGGATTGTAATGACAAAAAAGGGTCATTTTTTTGTCCATTTTACAGTAGACTCTCAGTAAACGGAACCTGAAGGAACCGAGGAAATACAGTCGAACCTTGCTACAACAAAACTGAAGGGGTGCGAAAAAATTTCGTTAGAGCGACAATTTTGTTGTAGCGAAATCGAAAAAATATAGCCGATCTGAACTAGCAAAACAAAGAAACGTTTATTCTCAAAATTCAAAAAGTGTCCGCTGCTTTTTATTTATCCCAGCAGCGTCATGAGGCGATTCTCACCCATGCATATCGAGGTCATCGTGAAAACCACGCTGAAACGGTGAATATAGCCGCTTTCGTGAATGAACCAAACAGTTGCATTAACACGTTGACACCAGCAGCTGTCCGCCGTCATAACGCCGATATGGCAGCAGGTTATCTTGAAGCGGTGACTTTTGCCCTATTTTATGCCAATCTTATTATCCATCACTCGTGGTTAGCTGATTTTGTTGATAATGCAGATAAACAGCTGCTCTGTTTAGTTACCACACTCGTCAAGGGTGAACAAAATGATAAGCATTGGAACCGGAAAAGGCATCATTCTGCAGATGCACCCAGCAGCTGCGGGAAGGAAACCATGAACTAAGCAACTGAGTTTGAGCTTCGGATCGTCTGTGGCTATACAGTAAACCCAATTTTTAACATTTTGATGCATTTTCAGAAACTGAAAATACGTCGACGAAGTCTAAAATACGCGTTGGCACCACCAGAAACCACCGCTGTTCAACAAGCGTGGGTGCCGCCACTCCTCGATAGCGATGGGGGCGCCTATGCTTGCTTAACAGCGGTGGTTTCTGGTGGTGTCAGCGCATGTTTTAGACTTTGTCGTTGTATTTTCAGGTTCTGAAAATGCATCAAAATGTTAAATATTGGATTTACTGTATAGCGATAGATATCTGATCCTGAAATCGCATTGTGAAATTTCGGTGAAGCGAGATTGCAGAAGCAAAAGTGTTCGTTGTGGCAACAATATCTATGCATTAACTCCTATACACTGCTGACGGGGAAATTTTTCGTTGTAGCGGGAATTTCATTAAGGGGAGACGCGGGTCGAAAAGTCGCGGTTTTCCGGAAAATTTTCGCTTTTTTTTTATGGCTGTATTGGCATCCTTGGACTATAATCTATTACTTCTGAAAATATCAAGCTGAAATTCGCACGAGAAATTATCAAAAAATGCTTCCAAGTGGGCAGCGGTGACGCGAGAAATGCGCGAAAAACGGCGAAGTTCGCGTCGTCCTGTCGCGAAATTACGCGTTGGCCGCCATTTGCAATCGTGCACGCATGCTGCGAAGGCCGTATCCTTCATAATCCACTAGTAGCCAGTCTCGTGCCTTCATGCAGAATAAACAAAAAACTAGAAAAACAACGCGTACGTCACGCGTTTTGAATATCGCGGCACACAGCGCGAGACCGCCATTGGACGGCGGTGCGCTCCACGCTCCTCCCCCTCCTATTTCTCCGGCAAAAGAGCGAAGCCTCAGACGTCGCGATCGAGTTTTTCTGCGTTTCTCTGCATTTTTGCGCCATGGCAAGCCCGAAGAAGTGCAGTTCAGATAATCGAAAGTTCAGAACTCGCCACAAGTATCGAGGGAAACGGCGTCGGACGCTTCGCAAAGCGACAGCGAACGACGATGTCGCCCCCGACCAACGCCCCGACGCTCCGACTTCGGATAGGCCTAAGACCGTCACCGAACCCTGCGGCAGTGGTTGTGAAATAGCCGCTGCCGTGGAATTCGTCAGTGCATCCCAAAGGAAGATTGGATTCTTCGAGAGTGAACGTAGACCTGTAGATGCTGCTACTGCGAACATGCTGCTTTGCGAAATCGATGCGCTTACGGCACTTGTGGCGGGTGCGCAATGCCCAACCTGCCGCGAACGGAAGCTCGGCGTGCGAGAGGCAGCTGGAAAGCGCAAAGGACTTTCGGCATTCCTCGAACTGTGCTGTCAAAATTCTGATTGCCCTGAATCTGCACTTTCGTTCACGCACACGTCGAGACATACTGCTTCGGCCGGGGACCAAGGAACGAGCGCTCGTTTTGACAGCGGGAGCTCGCGTGACAGTTTTGCTGTAAACGTGAAGGCAGTTCTGGCAGCACGAGCTATAGGCGCAGGCCACGACCAACTTTCACGATTTTGTGCGATTCTCGGTCTTCCGAGCCCGATGCGTCACAAGACATTCAACGGCATTTGCAAGAAGCTCCATGGTGCGGCGATGACGGCAGTGAGCAAAAACTTGCACCAGGCACGAAACATCACGAAGGACGCAGTCGGCGGCAGAGATGTGCCAGTCATGTTTGATGGCACCTGGCAGAAAAGAGGTCATAAAAGCCACAATGGAGTGGGCACAGTCGTGTCCCTGGACACGGGGCTCTGCCTCGATTTTGAAGTTCTTTCGAACTACTGCCATGCTTGCAGTATACACAGGGACCTTGGGGAGGATGAAGAGATATGGCGAGCTTTTCATCTTCCAGTTTGCCAAAAAAACACTGACTGCTCATCCCATGCAATGGAACCTGCGGCAGCTGTCAATATATGGCAGAGGACCTTGTCTTATGAAACTCCACTGCGATTCACCAGCTTCCTAAGTGATGGTGACAGCAAGGCCTACACTGCAGTCTGCGAGGCAAATGTATACTGTGACACCCCCATTGACAAAGAAGAGTGCACGAACCACGTTGCAAAGCGCTTGGGAACTGCCCTATGGAAATTGGCAAGGCCACTGCCACGAGACGAAAAACTGAAATATGCGACAATAATTAAACTACAAACATATTACAAGATCGCCATCACGAGCAACAAGGACAGTGTCCGAAATATGTACACTGTCATATGGGCATCGTATTTCCATTGCTGCTCCAGTGATGGTGCCAGTAGCCACAACTTTTGCCCCATGGGACCAAATTCGTGGTGCAAGCACAAGCGTGCGGAAGCACTGGGGGAGCCTGCACTACGCCACACCCCACTGTTGACGAAGGCTCAAGGATTGGCAATTATGCCTATCTACAAGCGCCTTACAGAGGAAAAACTCCTTATTCGGTGCCTTCATGGCAAGACACAGAATGCAGCCGAATCGCTGAACAGCAAGATATGGCTGCTATGTCCAAAAACAAAGTTCGCCTCCAGAACAACTGTGGAGACAGCCACCGCTCTTGCTGTACTCTGGTACAACAAAGGCCACAGGCTTTGAAGAAGTGCTCGAAGGCATTGGAATTCTCCCCTCACAAGATCTGGCCACACATGGTGACCACTGTGACGTCATGTGCATCAGGAAGATGAACCTGAAGCAAACTGCAGAAGCGAGGGCACACCGTCGCAACACAGCTAAGAGAGCTCGTGTTGAGGACACTGACCGCAAGAGCCGTGAAGGACCAAGCTATGGTGCAGGGGACTTCTAGACACTTGCAGTGCATTCAAGGCAAGGTACTTTTCATTGTGCCCCAATTTGATGCAAAAAGAATGATTTCCTAATAAATGCCAACTTTGCGAACTTTCAAACTTGTTTTTCTCATTTTCATTTTTTCTGACAATTTCACGTTTTCCGGGCAGCCTTTTAGAAACTTATATTCATTGTATAGTAACGAAACTTGGCACACATATTCTTCAACACATGCAGAATGCAAATATCTACTCTAAATTGCAATGCCTACCAGCATTAGTTGTGAAAATATTAGCTTATTGTTTCAAGGGAGATTGAAAATAATAAGTCATTCAATACAAATTTTTTTTTCTTGGTTCCAATATTTCTGTGACATATCTATATAGATATTTGCACTTTTCAATCTACCAAGAGTCAAATAAGATCAGACACAGTGCTTTTACTGAAAGTTTAGTACATAAAAGAGTGCCCGCAAAAAATGTAACTTCTTGCTACTGTTTATGGCATAACTCAATAATTATAGCAGCTACACAAAAAATGATTGCATATTTGAAATCTGCATGAAAAACTATACTGATAACAAACTTTTCAAGTCTCTATTACTAGAAATAAAAAAAAAACTTTTTCGAGGAGAGTCTCCCCTTAAAGCGCCGTTCGTTGTAGCAGGGTTCAACTGTATGCTCTATTTAGCAGGAGTACAGTTTACTAAAAAGTTTACATGGGTGCAGAATACAAGCCCAAAGCCAAGCATTGCAGAGGCGATAGTTCTGTTTAAGCAGTAGTTCCGGTTAAGAGATTTCCGTTTATGAGTCTACTGTAACTTATTTCAGTTTACGTCTTTACTACACTAAAGTTAAAGACAACAATTCATGCCTGCTTCGTTTGGCTGAATGATAACCTGTACATGGTTTTTATGCACATATTTTTGTAAATTCAGCTATTTCAAGACTCAAAGCATCTAGTTTTGCTACCTACCGAGCTAACAGGGTATTACTACACACAAAGAGCACATATGTCAAAGTGTCCTGCATGGTTCTGCTCTTTTATATTCACATTTCTTGCACTACGCCCAAAATGAATCCTCACCAACTATGCCAGTTTCCAGTTCTGTAAAAATAGCGAAGCCAAATGCAAACAAGGAAGCTGTGCTGCTTTTAATAAAGGCAGAACCAGAGGCCCCCTTCACGTCGACAGGTGAAGGAGAGGGGGACACAAACTACTAGAACCACTGTCCTTTGTGGCATTTATTTTTTTTCTTTCTTTCTTTCTGTCGCTGGAGTCAATTTTTGTGAAGATTTAAGGCAGCGCCTTTATGATCAGGAGGATCTATCAGAATTTGGGATTGATTGATACGCGAGGTTTAACGTCCCAAAACCACCATATGATTATGAGAGACGCCGTAGTGGAGGGCTCCGGAAATTTCGACAACCTGGTGTTCTTTAACGTGCATTCAAATCTAAGCACACGGGCCTGCAACATTTCTACCTCCATCGGAAATGCAGCCGCCACAGCAGGGATTCGATCCCGTGACCTGCGGGTCGGCAGCCGAGTACCTTAGCCACTAGACAGAATTTGGGAGTGTACCAGAAAAACCGGGAGAGCTGGCAGGCGTGAATACAGGCATTTGAACGAGAAAACTGTAGCCCAGTAACACAAAAGTATAAAATAAAAATGTCAGAAGTTCACCTAGTTGTATACGGCATTTGATTGGAGAGAAACAAAGGACGAGACAGAGGAGATAAACAGGTACGTCTCTTCTTCTAACTCTTTTGCATTATGTTTTACAATGCAAAATCACAATATGATTACGAGAGATGCCATAATGAAGGGCTCCATTCCTCATCATAAAATACAAGCAAAGCACACAAGAGTGTCTCGAAACATTGCTTGAAGAGGCTCTCCTTGTCTGGGCATAAAACTTAGTAGTGATAACTAGGGGCTTCATGACACTGCTTTTTAAAGATACTGTCACATTCCTTCTTCAAGTGAGAGTTTGTTTGCACTTCAAATGCACCAACTGGCTGTGGAAGTCACAGCAATTACAATCTACAGGTGTAGATCAAAGGGGGCCGTCTTCACCCGAAGAAAGAATGCTCCAAAACAAGGTTCATGCAGCAAAACAAAAATGGGCTTGCGTACCTCCCCAGTGCGATCATAGTGCGCTGCCTTGGGCAGGATCTCTTCACGTGCGAATTTTCGTGCCAAGTTCTGATACTCCTTCTGCTCATCCGACAGCTCTGCAACAGAGACATACGCCCGATTTCACTGATGTGCAGCTGCAGATGCCACACCACATTGGCATGGCATGTAGAGACGATAACTGGAATAAGCTCAATTCCTCAGATTGAGGTGAATTCATCATCACAGCGCAGGCACAGTGGCCAGGACTTGAACCAGCATCCTCAAGCTTATCTCAGTCGCTATGCCAGCACAGCAGATTAAAGTAGGCAGTGGCGTGGAAGCATGCCGCCTTAATTCAGCATTGGCCCTGAGGCATAGACGCAGCTTTAGGTGAGTTTTGGTTGAATACAAAAAAGAAAATTACGGTAAAGTTTATGTATGTCAACCAGCTGTATGCAGTCCAATGGCCTAGGACCAATATCCACCTAATATGAAGAATGACCATTCAAAAGCCTATAAAGAGCTTATCAGGCACAGAAATATGCTTTGAAACACAGCAGTGCACGCTCCGTTGATTCGTGACACGTTCTAACAAAAAACAGAGGCGGACAACTGCTGCTCTGCGAGTTTTGGTTTAATACAAAAGGAAGAAAATTACAGTAAAGTTTATGTATGTGAACCAGCTGTGTGCAGTCCAATGGCCTAGGACCAATATCCACCTAATATGAAGAACGACCATTCAAAAGCCCATAAAGAGCTTATCAGGCACAGAAATATGCTTTGAAACACAGCAGTGCACGCTCCGTTGATTCGTGACACGTTCCAACAAAAAATAGAGGCGGACAACTGCTGTTCTGTGAGTTTCGGTTTAATACAAAAGGAAGAAAATTACGGTAATGTTTATGTATGTGAACCAGCTGTGTGCAGTCCAATGGCCTAGGACCAATATCCACCTAATATGAAAAACGACCATTCAAAAGCCCATAAAGAGCTTATCAGGCACAGAAATATGCTTTGAAACACAGCAGTGCACGCTCCGTTGATTCGTGACACATTCCAACAAAAAATAGAGGCGGACAACTGCTGTTCTGTGAGTTTTGGTTTAATACAAAAGGAAGAAAATTACGGTAAAGTTTATGTATGTGAACCAGCTGTGTGCAGTCCAATGGCCTAGGACCAATATCCACCCAATATGAAGAACGACCATTCAAAAGCCCATAAAGAGCTTATCAGGCACAGAAATATGCTTTGAAACACATCAGTGCACGCCCCGTTGAATCGTGACACGTTCCAACAAAAAATAGAGGCGGACAACTGCTGTTCTAGAAACTGCAGTGCATCATTACTCGCTTTCTCCCAGTGTTGCTCGTTTGCCATGCTGGGGTAGCCCTGCAGTGCATCATTACTCGCTTTCTCCCAGTGTTGCTCGTTTGCCATGCTGGGGTAGCCCGACAGCCATGACAAGAAACGTGTCATAAATACCATCTCACACCGGATCACAAAACGGTGTCAGCCGTGGTGCCCGCCAAGCTGAGCCTACCATTTCTGTCAGCAGAGTCATCAATGAGCACTGGCTGTTGTGGCCTGCTTGTCACTCATGAAGCTATCAAATTATTTACCAAGATTTTTGAAAATAAACCAGTGCCATGCAAGGTTGCTTATAGTATTGTACTTCTTGACAACAATGCAAAGGCATTTAAGCGAATATCACAAAGGCACTGAATTGAAGCACAACATAGGTGCTGCTCACTCATTCGTCGCATGCACGTTAAATTGTCCTGTGCCACACATATGGTGCCACATGTTCAATCGGATATGGAATTTCACCACGTGTATACAGAAACTGTTTCACTCGTTAAATCTGCACACAGCTGCTACACTTGCATTAACCCATTGCCATTCGTGTACCTAGTTGGGCCAGCCACTTAAGAGTGTGTGGCAATCGATCCTCAATGGTGCATGAATTTGCACGGCAGTGATCAAAAGTTTGCAGCTTATGCACCCACTGTGGTAAAATACTGCCATGGCTATCAGGATAGGAAACAATCGCACAGGCTGCTAGTCACAGATGTGTGACTCAGGAAACAGAGTTTCACTGGTCCAAGCAATAATACATAAAAAAAACAAAGAGCACTTCCAACAGCACAAGCAACCAGATAAAGTTACAAAAACTGTAAATACTGATTGGGACACGTGCAATGGTAGCACCTTGTGGCAGTTGCAGCTGCAGCCCCAAATAAAAAAAACTTCAAAAAGTCAAAGGCCGGATTCCACTACTGTGCATGGCTTAACGGAAGCGATTCGCAACCAATTGCATTTGCATCTGAAGAGCAGCAATTTCCTTGTCGGCTACCAAATGCCAGAATCATGCTATTTTCTTGGTGGCATCATGACATTATGTGGTCACTTGAAATAGACTTTAAACTTCCAAATGTTTCTTGCTCTATGTGTCCCGCAAAACATCGCTCAAAAAATTACGTCCTCTTGCCGTGTGCATGGCTTAACGGAAGGGATTCGCGACCAATTGCATTTGCATCTGAAGAGCAGCAATTTCCTTGTCAGCTACCAAATGCCAGAATCATGCTATTTTCTTGGTGGCATCATGACATTATGTGGTCACTTGAAATAGACTTTAAACTTCCAAATGTTTTTTGCTCTATGTGTCCCGCAAAACATCGCTAAAAAATGACGTCCTCTTGCCATGTGCACATAGGGCTGATCACATGAAGAATGCCAGGAGTGGTAGTCGGTGAGAGAGGCTAAAAAAATAGAAGCACTTTTTCTCGACATCAACGCACGTCTACATGCAATTGGGATCCCTGGGCTGATGCATTCGAACCTGTACGCCTGGTTGAGGCTTTACACAGATAAAGGAGCTGAGATATAATGCAAAATGCTGTGCAACAAAATTTTGAAATTACAAGTAGAAAATACCATACAATGAAAGTGAAGTACAACAAAGCTGTTCTATGGCATCTCTTCTTAGTCATTCAGCATGGCAAGTTCTGGCAGAGGTAAACTAGTGTGCCCTCCTTACATGAAGATGAGAGTCGAAAAACAGCTTTTTCCCAACATTACATATCTTTCTTTTTTATTTGCTTAGACAAGTATAGTTTCTCTACTTTCACAACAAAAATACTGAAGATTTTAAAAGAGACAGTATTTCAAACTCTGATAATTCACATTTTCAGTTAATTCAAACAAAATTCAAGTTTTTGGTTGGCCCTGTATTCTTTCACTCTATTTGAAAGTCTCTCAATTCGAACTCCATCATTCAATTAATTCATACTTCTTGCAGTTACATGCCAAAAATTATCTACTGCTTTCCCACTACTATTTAAAAATTTGCATGCTTATATAGCCCTAACAGCCTAAAAATAAAAAATAAGTGTCTCAGGCCTTCAAGGAAAAAGGCTTAGCTAGTAAACAAATGTTTAAATGAAGCACACGCATGGTAAACCGTTACACTTCTCAACTGGTATAAATAGGATTGTTCTGAGGGCACATATAGCAAAGAAGCAGTTGGCAATCCATCATTTTTTTCAAATCTCTGACCAGCCGTAAATGGCCAAAAAATTTTTGGACCTTACACCATTGCCTCTTTTTTTTTAAATTGCATGCAGTTACGGTTTTAAAAACGCTTAAATTTTTAAATGTGATAAAATCAATGCGGTGTCACCTCACCCGGAGTGATATCTAAAAGCTTCTGATAATTCAAATTTCTTGATAATTCAAACAAAATTCAGAGGTCCTTTCGGGTTTGAATTATTTGAGAGTCAAGTGTAATTAAATGTGAAGTAGGTTAAAAACTCTATTAAAGAGCACAAGGTGGCTACTAAAACTCAAAGGAGCTCATTGTCTAGAATCCATGGAAATTGTCACCTGGCTGCTTGCCTCAGCATTTCGCATGAGCAGTTCACTAAGTCACATGCTCAAAATAATAATGATTGCCAACCCCTCACAATGAAAGAAATCTCCATAAAAAACATCTTTTCCACACAGTGAGGCTTTCACTCATATATCTTTTCCACATAGCGGGGCCTTCACTTACACTTTTAAGATGCATTTTTCTCAAGATCCACTTCTGGGCAACTTCATGAGTTTAAACATGATGTTTTTGGCATTTCTGATAGCCCAATCTTGATGAAATTTTGCCCATATATTCCTTAAAATGGGAAGGGTGAAAACTTGACATCACCTGTATAATTGTCAAACAACTATACTGGGCTCAAGATTCTAAGCGTTCCCACATTAGAATTTTTCTTGTCCGTTAAAATGTCTTACATGTGCTTTCTGATAATGATTCGAGATGTGGGGTTTAACGTCCCAAAACCACCATATGATTCTAGGAGACACCGTAGTAGGGGGCTCCGGAAATTTTGACCACCTGGGGTTCTTTAAGGTGCATAAAAATCTGAGCTCACGGGCCTACAACATTTTCGCCTCCATCGAAATTGGTATACGTGCTTTCTTGATAGTTATTTGCGTTCCACGGTTAATGTAGAGCGATAAGAGCCATTAATGGCAAAGAACCATAAATGTTTAGGGGCATAAAAAGTTTGCCCAAAACCAACTCTACGTTACACATTATCATGGCATAAAACTAAAACTGTGCCACTTACGATAAAACTAATTACATATTTGAAATCAGCATAAAATGCTGCAGCGAAAATTTCATTACCTTCAGGTTAATGCAACCAATTTTTGAAATTGCAGCTCCCCTTAAAGGGTGTGGTAACTGGTGAGAATGTGATTAGATATTAGTGAAAATATAAATACCCTGAAACCTAGTGACAGGGTCCAGCATTCTTTTCACAACATGAGCAGTATTTGTACTTCTCAAAGCTACATTTCAAAGTCACAAAAGCTGGTACATTGTGCAGCGTGGTGGAATAGCCTTGAAACTGCACAAGCAAGTCATTCTATTGCTGCACACAGCCTACTGTTGTGTTCAGGCACATTATAATACAGGCTGGCAAAGTGCAGTTCTAACATGGGACCAAGATGTACACAATTTTTTTCAGCCACAAATATGAGAGGCTTAGTGAATAACCAAGACTACAAAACAAACACTTTCAACCAATTCATTCACTCACGTATGCTACACAAGTGGCTACTCGTTTTTGGTAACTGCACCACTTCTTGGCTTCCCAACATTTCTGTGGCTTCTGTGTCACCCTCACCAATACAAGGCTTCTAACAGTTACTCTTATTTCGGGATTACCTTGAACAAGTGCTTCCTTTTTTCTAGATTATTGCTCATAGTTTGAATTTTCACAATAATTGGTTACCAAACTCAGACTGTGGTTGTAACACGAGTCTCAGGCTCTAGCCTTAACATGAATCCATACAATATTTTGCTGTGGAACGCTACGCAATCTTGCCTGTTCACTGTATGCACAGATGGTCATATGCTACTTTCATACACATGACACTCAAACAAATCTGTTTTGACTGCAAGAATGCTATTATTTGGTTACAGTATTTAATTTACTTACGGAGCACTCTACCGCACAGCAAAAATATTGGTGTGACAATACGACTCCTGAGGAAACATAGTGAACAGGTACTTCGCAAAGTGCCAGTCTTGGCACATTTTCAAACCTGAATTGTTCGTATATTGAACTTGTATGGAGCCATGAAATGTACTGCATGCTCTATGAAACATACCAAATATTTGGCCGATATTTCGGCACATGACCTTTTAGAACATTATTATAAAGTTTAAACTGGTCATGATAGCTTGAAGTTTTAAGATTTCGCTACACACGGAGTTAAATAAACCACTGCTGATTTTTAAGGAACGTCTACAAATTCGAAATGAAAAGAAGGTGCACTAACTTCTTCCGAGAGAACCAGCGGCAGACAAACTCACCGAAGTAATATCCAGAGTGGTTGGCCTTGGATGCAGCAGCAGCTGCCTCGGTTGACAGTGCCCGAGAGTGACAAATGGACTTGAGCGCCCGCAATGCCTGCATTGGGAGGCATCTTCAGGCACGACGGCTAAATCCACCAAGCCCTTTCCAGTCTCCATTAGCTTCACACGTGTTCAAACCATTTTTCTATTTCTCCGCATATTCTTCAGAAAGAACACAGTACCAACCCCAACTTTTGCTGCTTTGGCATATCCCTCAACTTAGCCATAGTTTCTTAGACTTTTTTTCACCCAAGTTGAGCATACTTTTGCTGGGCTGTTCATACCCTTTGAACATTCTATGTCCACTTAGCTCAAAAAAAAAAAAAGAAGAAATACATCAGCTTCTCTTGCTTGGCCCTTTCTATTTGTTTTCTTTGTGTCAAGTTTATGACATTTTTTGAGCACCAGCCCCGTGGTTGCTTCTTGCATGCAGATCAATGTCCACACTATGTGCGCACAAAACTGACATGTGGCAAGTGCAGTTACAGTAGGCACATCAATAATTTCTTTGAATTAATTGTTCGGGTTAAAACCCCAAAGCCACCATTAAGATTATGAGAGACACCGAAGTGGAGGGCTTTGGAAATTTTCACCACCTTGGCTTCAACATGCACCTAAATCTAGGCACACGGGTTTGAAGCATTTTTGCCTCCATAAAAATGTGGCTGCCGTAGCCAGGATTAGATTTGGCGACCTGTGGGTCAGCAATCAAGCACCATGACCACTGGACAACTGTAACGGATGCACTTTAATAGCTCGTTCCACTTCAACAATAATATCAGTGTGCACTAACCAGTAACAACGCCATTCTCAATGCACACTTTCCTGATATATCGTAACATTCTTAGAGTGACTTCTTTTCATCATGATATGCCACACGACACTTCATGCTCATTTTTGCCATCACATCTAGGTTCTGTATAAGTCCAAGGGCGATAACATCATGCATCATATGTTCCATGTGCAAGAGAAAGCATGCGAGGGCGCCTATGTTCTCATCTCCATTGTGTGAAAGGCAGATGAAGGATTCCTGGGGAAGGGGGGGGCTATGTGACTACATCAATATGCCTACTTTGAGTGGCCGGGTGCAGTCAACCTATCTTGGCAAAGATCAGGTGCTTTAGCTGTTCAGTTTGGACATCAACTTCACTCACTGCAGAAGCCATGTTTCCTTAGACTAGCATTTTATTGGGCTATGTAAGGCGAATGCGCAAGACAGCTTCTAGCCTTACTTCATATACCATTGCCGTTTGCTCCCATCACATTTATTGTCCTTGTTGCTCAAGATGTGTTTTTTCTTATTTTGCATTAAGTGAAACCTGCTCACGCAGGACAGAGTGGGTTGGAGATCACTAAGAGATAGATGCCTTCACTCTGCAGTTGACACAAGACCGGCTGATGATTATATTCGGTTATGTGCTACTGTAATAATATCTGCCCACAAGTGAAGAATTGTATTCAACAGGATGACCAGCACAAGCATCACACAGAGTAGGCCGCACAGGTGAACATGACAGGCGCAGCTTCTACAATCACAAGATGGAACCAAAGAGAAGGCCCGCTGCTTGAACCAAAACTTTTTGCTATAAATGGGAACATTTACATGTACCGATGTCACAGTGCAGCAGTGCCATGACACTAGGATAAGTGCGGTCGCACTGCAGCATCAAGCTTTTCCTTTCACTCTCCAATCCCATTGATGATACGGGCGTGAGAAGCCCTGAGTACCACCCTTAGAATGTATAGACCAGAGCTAAACAAGCATCCCTGTAAAAATGTTATTTGCAGTTCCTGGTGTATAAAACACAGCTGTTCTTCCTAAATTAGCGCTGGTGCATACTATAAGAATGATGCATGTTATACAGGGCGTCCAAACTATAACACAAAAAATTTTTAAAGAGAAGAATGGCATTGAGCAAAGCAATCCTCGTACATGCTGTTCACGATATGCCGGAGTAACCATTACTATTTATTTCATTAATGTGGGGTAATTAATTTGTCATCATTATACTTTAAACTCTAATGTATACACCTAATTTACAAACATGTTATTGACGTCATATATAGGAAAGTACAAATGACATCCAAATATGCTATTTTGAACAACGCACTGATTGCGTGCTGATACTTCTGTCTCACGAAGCCTGCGAAATGTGAAAAACTAACAAGTGGCTACATTCTCACTTGCAGAACAAAACACCCTCGAGTAAGCTCACTGCAAAACACAGTTTTGTTAGTTGACTGTTACCAGAGAGCATTTTGCAATTTGGTAAGAGTAAAGCACAGGCGCCAACATGCACGACAATTTTGCCGCGATTCCTTCCACTCAACTGTACTCCATCATCATTATCTATTTCTTCCAGCTGACTGGCAACCAGAGCACTGTTTTTATCACAGCTGACTCAGCAAGACCAAAGCAAGTGGCAGATAAGACTTCATATATCTTTCTATCTTCCTTTTTTCCTTGATAATGGCCAACTCACAGTGGGGTTCTTTCAGAGCACTGCTTCCTCATGCCCACTGCTGTCCACTCATGTGCCATTTTACAGCTTTCATAAGCTTTCTTTATCAACTGGCAATGACGAACCCGCATACAATACATTTTTGAAAATAGCAAAGTTGTGCATTGAACCTGCCTACATATGCCTCCTTGACATTTTGATGATTAGATGAGTACTTGTCAAGTTTCAAATATATTTAGGACTGATAATTTAAACTTCATTAACCAAAATAGCAGTGGCTATTTCAGTGTACTGAAAACAAATGTACTAGGTTCACTTAGCATATCGTTGTTCAACTTTTTTGTAATCTTGTTCTCTTATAGTTAAGACAACCAATGTACAAACAAAACCACATGCACTCACACATTCAATATGCCTACATTTTAATTCCCTGAATAATGAACTGTGCAAAAAAATATTCATAAAAAGAAATTTAATCTTGTTACTACACTGGAGAGGTTGTGGCCCCACATGTCCGCTACTTGATGTTTAAGAGCATCGGCGGGGCCATAGAGGTCTTCACTACAATGAAGGCCGCGGTTGCCATGCATACTTCATAGCTATTCCGATTGTTTCTTTTTATTCAGAGCACTAAACCGATAGAAGTGATGTAATTAATAAGAAAAGGGCAATACAATGTATTGTTATTGCATACTGTTATTACATGTGCAGGTGACGTGATCATTGTAATGTGTTCCTGCCAAGCACAAAATGTTGTAGAGACAAAGCCGACTTGCTTTAACAGAATATGGAAGAGTAAATAGGTCATCTTGGTTTAAGCTTCATACCTTAATAACAAGAAAGAGAATATTACAATAACAAAAAGAGAACCGTCATGGCTAAGAGCAGCGCTGACTAACACTTCCAGGGTTTGCACACATATAAATACCCGGTGACGGGTGGTGGACAGCCACTGTAGCCATGTTGGCTACAGTGTCAACAGTTGACAAGTTACAATTGCGTCTGCCACTTCCTTCATATCTATACCAAAAGTATTACAATACACTTAAAACAGTACAATTAACATTCCCTACAGATACTTGGGCTTTAGACTGGGATCAAGAATAAATGCAAATAATGCAAATAAATGCAGAATATCAAACAAATTTTGTACACAAAAATATTCATGACCTATTTTGCTGTCATGCCTACTCAAATTGATCATATGTTATCGATACTTTTACCCGCCTATTTTGGCAGCCTAAATTTTTTCTTGTTCGCCTAGCACCTCCTAGTGGTTATTTCAGGCACTGCACTTTAAGAATCAGTTGTGAATTTCCCACGATTGTAGTTAGTAATGTAATGATTTTTGATAGAACTTTCTGCAAATGCACATAAGTATGTTGTTAGAAATGTGTGCATGGCTGACGCACTTCAGAGAAATAAATGCTTCTTATGGTTATGCTTCAATAACATCAAAGTTCTATATTGAAACAAATGCTTTGAAGTCAAACATCAAGTTACAGAGTCAGCTTCGCAATCTGACAATGCTGAGCAGTAATAATATACATTATATGTGATGTTACGTCCCAAACCCACAATACCGTTAAGATGGACACTGTAGTGGAGGGCTCCAGAAACTCTCAACCATCTGGTGTTCTTTAATGTGCACTGCCGTTGCACACTACACAAGCCTCTACCATTTCGCCTCTATCGAAATGCAAACGCCACAGCCGGGATCAAACTCATGGCCTTCGGGTCAGCAGCCAAGCTTCATAACTGCTACACCACTGCAGCAAACTCTTGAGCAGTAATAAGTGCCCAAAATTTACACCCCCTACTCACTAGAGAAGTGCTGTTTGGAGTCTGCGAATATTAATTCTACCAAAAAATTATTTCCGAGAGAAAGAGACAGGGAGGTTAACCTAAAAGAACTGAGGTTCACGAGAGATGCAATGCAGGCTTGTTGGTAGCTCATCTTCCGTAAGTTTCCTTGTAGAGCATGAAAACAACGGGAAGAAATAAAGGCACATGTAGACAGACATGTCTGTCTACATGTGCCTTCATTCTTTTCTATGGTTTACATGCGCTACAAGGAAACTTACTGTAGAAGAACTGGTTTGCTACCCTGTACAGGATGCCCTGTACTGCATCCTGTTTCGCTAGTCTCTCCAATGCAGTTCCTATCACGCACGTGTGTGCTACAAGAAATGCAAGTCACTCGAGGCTATGTTGCAACCACGCCTGAATTTAGTGATGCAGACATGATCTTTGGAGCGTGGGATTAGGCTAGTTGGTATTTCGTGCTGCAGTATGCTACCTCATAAAATAAGGCACAGGTTTTCCTTGCACGTGGCTTAGAGGTTTTTCTTTTAATGTTGTGGCCTTGAATGTCATCACCATGATGTGTTGGGCAAGCAGCCCTAAAAGTTTTTCAGAAGCTGCCCTATGAAGGCTCTCTTTTCGTGAACTTGACATACCATGCCACCCTTTAAAATGAGGTTTTCTGGTTATTTTTTTATGTCAATTTTTATTTCTTGACGATTTAAAATATAGACATTCAAAGGTGTGGAACAGATAAAATTGCATCTCTACGAGACTTTTCACAATTCATGGCCTCTTTTGCGACTACTCTCAAACTGAAAATGACTTCTTTAAAAATTTCACTTAAATTTTTCTCGAAACGCGATTTTCAACCAGTTTTTGTTGATGCAAAAGCTCATGCCTTTTGAGCAAATCAATGTTTTGCAATGAATCTTTCCATGGTTCTTGCTTAGACATTAACATGTGCAATGAACTAGGATGATTGAAAGCCCCGAATAAGTTTTGACGATATATTTCTAAGAAATGACTAAGCTTTTCTTTTTAGGCTACAACATGCCTAATGATGGCAGCACAAAGATCTTATTTTACAGCACAGCCAACATATGCAGCCATTAAGTTGCTAAGAGACTTTTTTTTTTGTAAGGTTGGATCGGTAGTTACGACTGTTGGCATGATGGGCATATTTTGCTAATTATATCATAGTTTTTTCAATTTTTTTAAATAACCCTCTTGAAGTGTGCTTTTGAACTGTCTTCCCAAGGACAAATAAAAACGCACACACACAAACACAAATGTGAGTCAAAATCTGAAAAGATTTCTAAAAAGGAGGTAACAATGTTACCTCGGAGGCTAAAGAATTCATGACGAATGTTACCTCAGAGGCTAAAAAGATTTGATGAGAACAAGGTCTTTTCTTGAAATGTAGTAAGGAGTTGAAAAGATAATGAATTCTAAAGATGAGCACGAGGTTAATCTGTGAATAGGGCAGTAATTAAAAAGAGTGCAAGTTCATTATCGCCATAAACCTGACAGCACCAACTGCAAGGCAAAGGCCTCTCCCATCTTACTCTAATTAACTCGGTCCTGTGCTTCCTACGGACACGTTATGCCCTCAAACTTCTTTATCTCATTGCCAGCCTAACCTCCTGCCTCCGCCTCAGAACAGTTGCTTTCGTTTAGAATCTAGTAAGTTACACTTGATGACCAACTGTCATCTTGCCTTTGCGCTACCTGCTCATTTCTTTTTCTTGGTTTCCACTAAGATATGGGTGACACCTGTTTGTTTCACGCCCACTCTGCTGTCTTCTTGTATATTAAGGCTACACCTATCTTTTTTTATAATTTTTTCAACCTAAGTTGGCCCTAGCTAAATAAGCATGCACATTTATTTGATTGAGCATTGTTAACCCATCTTTAGTGGAAACACATTCTGTTGTCAGAGCAACAAAAATTTAACGGAGTATTTATATGAGAAATACAAGAAGTCAGTCAAAGATTTTGCCTTTTTCCCCAGCATGTGTCGCAGCGTCTAATGAAGCTCTGAGACGCATTTGCACGTTTGGCAGTTAAGGGCACTAGCTTTTTATAGCTTCAATGTTCAGCTAGGTTCTTTATCTTCTAAACAAGCCACTCAAGAGCTTGTGCTCGGGTGTATGTTCTGTGTCCCTGTCCTGTGCTACACATTTGGTAGTAACTTGCCAAATTGTTGGTTTCTTTCTTGATATTGCTTTTTCTCCTCAACTTATTCGCCTATCTAGCCAAGAGGTCACTGAAGATCAGTGGTCAGCCCTGAGGTCTGCCTCCGCCTGCCAGCAAATGGTTGAGCTGAATAACACAAAAATACCACCTGCTCACATCTCCATCAGTAAAATGACAATGTACAAAACGTAAGAAGATTGCAGTTCGTCTAAAACCTTCTCACACCAATCGCAGTCGAGCACAACTAATGGAACCACGAAAATAAAGTTCCAGCAAGAAGTGGTGACAGGCACTGCTGAATCCTGACACTGATCCTATATGAAGAGCCCAATGTTCAGAGTGCCAATGTCCTGCAGTCACTCCATGCATAGATTGCCTTGCACCAGCACATGATGTTGCTGCAATGTCAACCACTACACTTGCAGCCCACATGCAGCAAGGGCAATTCACGTTTTCAAAGAAACCTCAAGGTCAACACTGTCCTGCAACCTACATTGTGAAGCCCATGGAAAAGAAAAGATATGTCCTTAGTGTTCCTCTTTCAGTCAGAATGCAGTACATTATTGAGCAGTAAAGGTAACCTGGAAGGAAGCTTGGTATTCTATTGTATGGGAAGAACAACAACAAGGACGAGGAGGCCAGGTGTCGTCCTTGCCACTCGTTCTTCACACCCTCGCAGCTGCAGTTTTGCGACTTCAAGAGGCATGTGTGCTCAAACCCATTTCATTTAGTACACCTAGTCTTGCAACCAACCCTTCAGGGGCGGCGCCAATATTTTCTACACTGAAGGGAGGGGGGTGGGCACCCATGACACGCGAGTTTTTTTCAATTGGAGATGGAAAAAGCTCAACGCCCCCAGCCCCAATACCCGGCTGGCGCCACCCCTGCAACCCGGATACAAATCACGAGTGGCTTGCCCCTTCGATTTGATTGAGAGTTTTTCGGTTGAATCTACAGCTAACACCAAATAAAAAGAAAAAAACTAAAATAACTGCCAACACCGGAATTTTGGTGGGTGATTGGCACAAGGCAAGCAACAGGATAAAATTTCAAATAGGAAACACTTATGGCGTTCGGCCACTACGTTTTTTCACATCCGTAAATTACTTCATTTTCCTAAGTAGCTCCACATTTTGCCACCACACGAATCGGCAATCTCGAAAAGAAAGCAAGAAAATCCACTTCCCCCCCCCCCCCTCTCGCGCTAGGTGTTGATAATATCCATTGTGTAGAACTCGTGCGTAGGCCAAGCGTTGCACACCGATAAGGCGCAGCTGGGTAGCGCTACTACAAAGTACACCGCGAAGAAACGAGACGCACTCAAGGCTCTAAGAGAAGAACGAGGGGGCAGGGGGCTCAATCAGTTCTTAAAGCAGCGCCCCGAGCCCCTGTTCCCAAGTGATCAGCAATACATGAACAAAAACAAACAGTAAACAACCTACCACCCGCCCCTTCTTTTTTTCATGCAATGCGCCACAAGCCAATGCGCCACAACAACTAGATGCGCAGACTGACTGCTGAGGCTTAATTGCCTAGACTTACTACGTCACCACATTCCTACGGGTGCGCCACATCGTAGTGAGATACCGATCGTTTCCTCCTTGGTGGTGAACAAAGCTGCACTAAATTGCGTAGCAGCCTACGCGGTGGCGTCACTTGTCACCCAAATGAAAAAATCAATCGCTCACCTTCGTTACTCTTGCAGCCATCTTGGTAGGCAGGGCGAATCTTAGCGACGCAGCTGCTGCGCGATGCCAGTACAAGGAAATCGCGACTGAGATGACAACGACAGCAACCCTTGTACCTTGGCGCTGCGCCGCCGCGCACAACACAAGAACAAGGACGCCGGAAGATCGTGCAGTGTTGCCAGGCGAGGTGAAGTGGTATTGTGGTGATGATGATAATGATCTCTACAACGTTTTCAGAGATAGTCAAGTTGAGAAACTCCCCGCGTCAGCCGACCAGTCACGCGACGCTAGAATAGCATGACGATAGTTATAGCGCGAGAACAAAACGAGGACACAGAGACAAGAAGGACACGAAAGACTCCTTCTTGTCTCTGTGTCATCGTTTTGTTCTCGCGCTATAACTATCGTCATGCCATACCAAGGAGGATCCTCCTTGTGCCATACCAACTAGCCCAAGCTGCCACACTTCTGGCACGGCCGCTGGATCAAACCGCACAGGGTGCGCTTTGATCCAGCGGCCGTGCTTCTGGTTTGATGGCGCTGGCTACGCAACAAGCTTTTGCTAGCAGACGAAAACGCGTAGTCTCTGGGGCAAGACGCCGCAGCAACTGTTGAGAAAGAGCTTTGCAAACAGTACATTATTACGATCTTTTGTTGTGTTCCCGCAGAAACGTAATACTGCGTGATATTTAGCGGCGTAAGGCAAATACAGTGTAATTATGGCCTTTTGGACTGCCCACGATAAACGATGCTTGATATATAACATAACATTCGAGTCTGTCCGTTAGATGCTACTTGGTGTACGTTCGCAATTGATATTTAGGCGCAAAATACACAATCACAAGATGTCCTGTACTCTGTTGTGACTGTGTTTTTTTTTTTGTGTGCCTTAAAATAAATTAGAACTATGTGGCGCAATCTAGTGGCTTTTGTCTGGTTCTGTGGTCTTTTTTTCATGTCAGTCACATTCTTTAGCAACTTATACCGTCGAAAAAGCTGCGCGTGCGGCCCTTTTCATGAGCATGTATTCTCTCTGCTGCTTCTTGATTTCATCTAATGAAACCTGTTAACACAACTGAAGCCAAAGCTTCGAGCAGGGACTGCACTTAGTGGTATGGAGCATATCGTAGTCATTACTCACGAGGCTGCGTGCTAACAAATTGGGACAACCTGAACACACTTTCAGCTTTTCTATGTCCTCCAGAAGTTCGGCCAATTGCATGATGGTATCTCCATTGCCGGGTGTTTTAGCTAAGCGACGGTGACGGCCACTAATGGTGACTGTCATGTCTTCTGCGACGACTACGCACTTCTCCACAAATAGCGTCCTTTTCCTATCAGCACTAGAAACACCACAAGACGTCCTGTCTCGCCATTCTCAACAACTTTCCGCCAGCATGCAAGCAAACGTTTTCTATTTCTTGAAGCGAAATAACGTGTGACTTGTTGAGGGAATGTCGGGACTTACTTTACGGTCTTCGGGCTCAGTGCTCGGAGATAGTCTGTTCTTTATCGCCGATAATATTCAGGAAAGCCCCCCCTCCCCCCCAATCCCAACGGGCAACTTTGGCTTCTTTGTCGCGGGTATTGAAAAGGAAGCCGGCAGATTCGGGAATATCCGTGGAACACATCTTTCAACGAGGTCCCACTTTGTTCTGGCGATTTGTACCTTCTTACCACTGATGACGTGAGTGAGAGTCTTCAGGATGCCGTCCTCATGAAAGGGCAGTTTCCTCATGAAAGGACAGTTTCTTATCCGCACGTGGAATAACGTAATCCCCCGCCTCTCACTGCTCAGGTCCACACGGGGCACAAAAGAAATGCCGTGGTGTCTAATTTTCGGTAGCCACTCGTACAGCTGGGGAAGCATTTTGTGGGCATGATGAAAAACACGCGAAACATACAGAACACAGCAGGGCGTCGTGAAGCACAAAAACTTTTCACGCAGAAAGAAGCCTTCACGGAAAGCGACGCACTGCAACATGCGCAGGCGACAAGGTTTACGAGAGTGACTAGAGCACGGAGGAAGAGCGAGCATGCAATGAGTGAATCCGGATGCGACAGCAGTGCCACATTTGTCGCTGGCAGTGGTGGCCCGGGCAACATTGCCCAGTTTTGCAGCTTACCTAGTTCTAGAAACGTTGGATCCCTACAAGTGGTAGCTATTAGCAAAAGAAGAAGGCGCCTATCTTCTGCAGCCCGGTACGGCGCAGCGCTGGAGGAAAGGTGGTAGTGATAGTGGTGAGAAGAAGAAGACGCCTAATTTCTGCATACCGCTAGGAAGCCCGGCGCAGACCTACTCAATCATTTGAGTTGCAAAACTCCTAATAGGCTTGTATCAAAATCTGAACACGCTATTGGCCAAAATGATAAAAGTGTGCGAATTTTCGCGTCACCTGTTGGCTGTAAAACCTACGTTTTATTCACAAAACTACATTAAAGTTGCGTTGTTGCTCCTATATAATGGAACAATTCGCTAACTCCAGCAGGATCCCACGTTAATAGTACCACGGCCGGGCTAGACTGCATTTGCGTGCACCAGAAATAAGTGCACGCAGGGGTAGTCTAGCCCAGCGGCTATGGTGGCTAGAAAGAATATATATATATATATATATATATATATATATATATATATATATTATTCCGTTTTTCCCTTTGACTGGTTTGTCCTTTTAGCATGATTCTGAACGTTGCATTATGACACTGTTGTTTTGGCTACTTGGAATTCAATAGTTTTTTCTTTCTTCTTCTTGGATTGTGTCGGTGCCTTTCTATACGTGACATCATTGTTTGTATATCCTATGTACCACTCCTGCTTGGACCGAGAAGGTCTGCAGTATACTTAAATAAATAAAATATATATATATTGTTACGGGTACGGGGAAGATTTATTCACCGAGAGCTGGTCTTGGTCTTGCTAACGGCCTAGAGAGTGCACAGTCAAGCAGGCCAACGGGAGAAGCTCGAGAAACCAACCCACAACAACCACGCTGTCGTCTTCTTCGTTTGGGTGCCAATTCAGCTGTGTCGGGGCGACAGTTCCATACACGTATCATCACCCCGGCCCGTAAGGCACCGTCTCGGTGCCTGTTAAATGAGCGATTCGGCGTTGTAGGGCTTGAGACGAGAAACGTGGACTACTTCCGTTCTGGGTGCAGCAGCTGATGAGTTTGTAGTAGCGGCAATCTCGTAGGTCACAGGTGTGACCTGACGAATGACTCGGTAGGGACCAGCGTATCGCGATAGTATATTCTCGCAGAGGCCAACACGTCGAGATGTGAGCCACAGGAGAACAAGAGATTCCGCAGAAAAAACGGCATCTCTATGTCGACGGTCATAAAGGGACATCTGTGCTGTCTGCGACAACGATAACCAAGCGCGCGCTACCGCGCGTGCCGTGAGGGCCCGGGTGATCGTATCCTGAGCGTACAAAGTGGAGGATGGGTGGTCTGATGAAAGGAGTGTGTCGAAGGGCAGTAAGGGATGACGTCCGAAGAGTAGATAAAAAGGGGAGTAGCCCGCTGTTTCATGACGCGACGAGTTATAGGCGAAGGTTACAAACGGAAGAGCTCTGTCCCAATCAGTGTGGTTGGTAGATACGTACATGGCAAGCATGTCGGTCAATGTGCGGTTTAGGCGCTCCGTAAGGCCGTTAGTCTGAGGGTTGTAAGATGTGGTGAAGTTGTGACGGGTAGCACAAGATCGGAGTAGATCATCAACCACACGAAATAGAAAGTAGCGACCACGGTCTGTGAGCAGGTGACACGGAGCGCCATGCTGGAGAATAATGTTGTACAGCAGGAAGTCGGCAACATCGGTTGCGCATCTGGTTGGTAGCGCTCGAGTGATTGCATACCGAGTGGCAAAGTCTGTGGCCACTGCAATTCATTTATTTCAAGTTGTAGAAGTAGGAAAGGGACCTAGCAAGTCCTACCCCACTCGATAAAATGGCTCGGCTGGAACTTCAATAGGTGGAAGAAGACGGCAGGGGTGTCGTAGGCTTCTTTCGGCGCTGGCAGAGGTCGCATGATGCGACGTAACGGCGAAGAGAGTGGTAGAGGCCCTTCCAGAATACTCGTCGTTGAATGCAGTCGTAAGTTCTGGAGACTCCTAGATGTCCAGAAGTTGGAGCGTCGTGGAATTTTCGGAGAACATCCTTTCGCAGGTGATGCGGTACGACGAGGAAAAGTTCCGCGCCATCGGGGTGGAAGTTGCGGCGGTACAAAACGTTGTCTTGAAGTAGGTATCTGCTAAGAGAAGGGTCAGCATAACGCGATTGAAGGTGGTCAGTGATGGTGAGCAGCGATGGATCTCGGCGCTGGTCGTCGGCCACGTTCAGAAAGTCAGTGATGGCTAAAACGCAGGCATCGGATTCCAAATCAGTGGAGCTAGGTGGATCAACGGGGTACCGGGATAAGCAGTCAGCATCGCTGTGCAGCTTTCCAGATTTGTAAACAACCGAGAACGTGTACTCCTGTAATCGAAGTGCCCATCAGCCGAGTCTTCCTGTAGGGTCCTTAAGCGTCGAAAGCCAGAAAAGCAACTGATAGTCCGTGATGACTGCGAACGGACGTCCGTATAAGTACGGACGGAATTTCGCAATAGCCCAAATGAGGGCTAAGCATTCCCGCTCAGTGATGGAATAATTATGTTCCGCTTGCGACAAAAGGTGGCTAGCGGCGGCTATCACACGGTTGGTGCCAATCTGTATCGGAGCGAGAACAGCACCAATGCCATGGCCGCTTGCATCGGTGCGAAGCTCTGTTCGAGCCGCTGGATCAAAATGAGCCAACACAGGTGGTGATGTGAGGGCGGTAGTTAGCGACGCGAAGGAATGTTCTTGGTCCCTTCCCCAAGAAAAGGCCACATTCTTTTTGAGGAGATCCGTGAGGGGCCTACCAATATCCGCGAAGTTGAAGACAAAGCGGCGGAAGTATGAGCAGAGTCCAATAAGACTGCGAAATTCTTGTGTGGAACGCGGAACCGGGAATTCTCGGACTGCACGGACTTTGTCAGGGTCGGGTTGAACACCAGTGGCGTGAACTAGGTGGCCGAGTAGTTCAATCTGCCAACGTCCAAATGAGCATTTCGACGAATTCAGTTGGAGACCAGCGCAACGAAAAACGTCAAAAATTGCCGTGAGACCAGACAGGTGGC